GAAAAAAAAAAAAAAAAAAAAAAAGACAAACGCCCTGGCTCTCTCATTAAAGACATTAACAAAACCTTTTACAAAGTTTCCCTCAGGGACAATGTCTAGGCATATCTGTTCAAATAACTTTTATCTTTAAATGTGGTCAGACGATTCATGATTCCATCTGTCTTTTTCAGGGCAATAAAACAGCAGACTACTGTTAGGTGTGTTTCAAAGCTTCTAAAAATACTCTGAGCTCACACTCATTTGATGCTAATGCAGACGAAAGACAAGAACGATGAATAGTGTGCATGTGCGTGAGACTAGGGAAAAATATCACACTAGTCTAGCCTCAAGAAATACTACTGAAATACAATGACCTTTAGCAAAACCAAAATGCAGCTGTACACTATAAACTGATTATTCTTGCAGAACAATTACACCATTAAAGGGATAGTTCAACCAAAAATGAAAACACTTCATTGTTTACTCATCCTCGTGTCATTCCAAACCTGTATGACCTTCTTTTTTCTGTGGAACGCAAATTTGAAAAGTCTCATTGTTTTTAATCCATACAATGAAAGCCAATGGGGTCCAAAAGAACATAAACGGTCTGCAATATCTTCTTTTGTGTTTCAAAGAAGAAAGTAAGTCATACAGTTTTGGAATGACGCGAGGTTGAGTAAACAATGATAGAATTGCCATTTTTGGGTGAACTATCGGCTTCTACATCACTTAAAGGTGATTAAAACACTCACCTGATCTTCTGTTAGAACAATCAGTCGGGTTACAATAATGTTCACAACGTTTCCAAGACTGGCATCATGATAAAGTTTGGCAACCTGACCTCCAGAAAAGAAGAAAAGACACAAAGTCAGCCAAGTGCTGTTCGAGTTCTTCTTATGTACGCTTGAATGAAATGCGTATTGGAGACAAACATGCATGAGAAAAGCAGGACCAAACTTACAATATTCATTACGGACAGGATGTAGTGCTCGATGTCTTTGCGACCGTGGTAACCCACCATCATTTTGTCCGCCACCACTAGGGTCTCCACAAATCGTTCAGAGCTGACAGAGCGCCGCTGACGGTGGCCACCCATCGAGCTATCACCGTCCGTGGCCAGGTAAGGTGGGTTTGCTTCAGGATTGGTATCGTAGCTGGGTGTCCGGTTTATTGTGAGGTCTGGAGATAACAAAAATGGTTCACGTTATCATCAAAAAGTGATTCATTAGCAGTTCAATTGATAGTAAAGTGAGGTTTAGCAGAACTTTAGAGTAGATCTTCACTCAACTTTCATGCCGAGGCCGTTTGCAGAGACTTCCAGCTAAACCTGAACTACTCATTTCCTAAACTGCTATCTATAGCTGTTTATGCCACAATGTGGCCAAATGGAGGTTTACCAACCTGAAACACCACAGCTGAACTCCTCGCTTGGCTCTTGCAGAGAAGGAATGGAAGTCTTTTTATAAATAACATGTGGTTGTCCTTCGTGGTTGACATCACTGAAATTTCTGGATACATTTTTTAATGGCTCTATTAAATATTGCTCGTCCTCTGTGGTTATGACACCATGCTTGATAAGAAAAGAGAAAATGATGGGTTACACAAAAAGCACACAGGAAAAACAAGAAAATATGTTCATTGTCAATGTATGAACTATTCCATCTGCAATGTCAAGGACAAGGTTGTAAATTCATGCATTTTAATGGCCGTATCACATGCTTATCATCTCTACAAATATATTCATGCTGTTGAAATACAAACCAGAACGCAGATAACTATTACTCATATTATTTCAAGTAATTCATATCATTCAGCATTGCAAGCAAATGCCAAAACATGCCACAATACAAATCAATTAGATAAATCGCTCAAAAACCACCAATTACATAAAGAACAACACCGTAATTACTGGGACAGGAACCAAAGCACACAGACCTTGAACACCCCCAATTTAACATAAATTCAAAAAGAGCCTCAGAAATGTGTTTATAGAAAAAGAAGATGAAAAAAAAGCTCTGGCATGCTCTCCAAGTCTGTAAAACTCCACAATGAGACCAATTAAATCTTTACAAAGAAACAGCAAACACTGCACACGCAAAACGAAGGCGCAGTTGATATAAGCCGTATGCTGTGTGATGCACGGCGAAAACTGCTGAGGCATTCAAAGGATTGTTTTTCCATTTTTGGTTTCAATAAAAATGACTGAGGCAACGCAGAGATCTCAATTTATGAAGTATGGTGGGCCAGTACTTTTGGCTGCAACAATCATAATATCACATTTTAGCATCATTATAACTGTCTCGTTCTTCATTCTGACTAAAGGGGGAGTATGGGAAAAAGTTTAATATTACAGACGTGATAAAGCAGAGCTGTTTGAAATTTCTTGTGGACTACAACCGTTTGTGTCAGATATCTGGTTGATTTAATGGCAGAGGTGGAACATTAAGTTTGTAAAAGCATTGCTTTTCCTTTCATTTGAGCCCAGCCATTGGGACAAATCAAATGTATTTGATATCAGATGTGATACATGACATCAGACTAATCCAAGTAAACAAGCTAGTTAGGATCATACTGGGCTTTCTTTTGTGGCCTAAAACATGTGAAATGGTAAAATCGATGCCTGATCTGAGGTCTTAAAGCAATCTCAAGTAAGCTTTTTTCACAGCATTTGTGGCAGAAAAGAATTCACGCTTCATGTCCCTTAGTTTGTAAAAACTCAACATCATATTCACATGTGTTAACATAAGATTCGTGCAGACGTTTTCGACCTTACAAGGAAAAGACCACCACAATAAAATGAAAAGGATTCTTTTAGAATTTTTTTGAAAAGGATTCTTTTAGTAAATTTAAAACATTTATAAGTAAATTTCAAAATTCCATAGTAAGTCCATTACTGTAAACACAATTTTTGCTGGTTTTTACTGGTTAGCCTGTTAGCATTAGCAGATAGTCTGGTAGATGTGTACTTCACCATTCTTAGGCAAAGAGCCTCCCTCTCCATTGACAACTTCAATGTAGCTGTACATTGACAAAATATAGTTTTCATTATATTATACACCTATAAAGCCAAAATGCAGTAACTACACCAACAGTGAAATGTAGAAAATGGCTTTTTAAAAATGTTGATTTTTCACAAACTGAGTGTCCTTCAAAGGACAGGTCAGGGTCTAAGAGACCTGATTTTGGTCATTACTCAATTGTGACAAAATGTGTTATTGCAATATGATCGATGTCTAACCAGTGCCCATTTTTGATATCTCTTAAGAGCATAAAAGAGACTTTTATTTTTTTAATGTCTGGCTCAGAATAGTGATGTTGTTATGACGTTATTCTCTCACAGCTCCAGAGCAGTGTTAATTTTGCCAGCTGTTACGCTGTGTCTAAAATTGCATACTATATAGTCACTACATTTGGTTTGAAACTTACTTTGTGACCATTAAAAACAGCGTGTAATATATAGTATAAATTAGGGCTGTGCGATATTGAAGAAAAATGCG